GTCTGTACAACCGTGTGTTGTTTTCTAACATCGTAAGTAGTTTGGGAGACAGGGAAAGCATCACCAGTCCTGATTCTGCTGTCTTATGATGAGTAAACTGGAAAAAAATAGATGATAGAAGTTTATATTGCGCATCAATGGCTACTTTCTTGCGGTAATTGGCTACTTTCTTGCGGTAATTGGCTACTTTCTTGCGGTAATTTGCTACTTTCTTGCGGTAAAAGGCTACTTGATTCGCGGTAAATGGCTACTGAGGTGCGGTAAACGGCTACAAGTAGCCTTGTTACCGCGTTCAAGTAGTCATTTCACCGCAAAAAGTAACCATTTACCGCAAAAAATGTAGTCATTTACCGCAAGATGTAGGCATTTACCGCATAAAAAGTAGCCGTTTACCGCAAGAAAGTTGTCATTTACCTCAAATTTGTAGCCTGTTACCGCAAGTATGTAGCCTATTACCGCAAGTATGTAGCCTACTGCCGCAAGTATGTAGCCTACTACCATGGCGGTAAATGGCTACCTGATTCGTTTAAGTAGTCATTTTACCGCAAAATGTAACCATTTCCCGCAAAAAATGTAGTCATCTACCGCAAGATGTAGGCATTTACCGCATAAACAGTAGCCGTTTACCGCAAGAAAGTTGCCATTTACCGCAAATATGTAGCCTACTACCGCAAGTATGTAGCCTACTACCGCAAATATGTCGCCTACTACCGCAAGTATGTAGCCTACTACCGCAAATATGTAGCCTACTACCGCAAGTATGTAGCCTACTACCACGGCGGCATATGGCTACTTGCTTGCGGTATTTGGCTACTTAGTGACCTTTACCGCGTTAATATGGACTTTTTACCGTTGCGGAAATGGTGAATGTTTATCGAAAAATGGTTTTAGGTGGCAATTAACGTGCATATCATATAATTTTCAGAGATGAATACATCCATTAGTGACTTTCTTTTATTAATGCATACATATATTTTTTTATATTTAAATTTAGTTTTACTTACAACGACTACAGCTCCTCCATCCGGAGTTTTCTTTGCTCTTCTAATTGAGTCCTCAGAAACACCTCTGACAGTCATCGGGCGTTCTGCATTAGCTTACATACATACATACATACATACATACATACATACATACATACATAACATACATGCATACAAATAAACACACACATACATACATACATTCAATCAAACATACAAACATACATAGATACATACATACACACAAACACATACACATACACATACAAACATACATACATACATACATACACATGCATACACACATACATAAAAACATACATAAACACATACATACATACACACACATACACATACACACGCACATACATACATGCATACTTACATACATACATACACACACACACATAATACACACATACATACATACATACATACATACATACATATATACATTACACAAACACTTACACATACACAAACACACATACATGCATACATACATTCATAAATACATACATACATACACACGCACATGCATGCATACATACATACACTAACACATATATGCATGCACATACATAAACACATGTATAAACACACATTATTATATTCATAACAGAGATATTTAGATGTTCATCATTTCTTTTTTAAATAATAAAGTAATTATCATTTTAATTTTTAAGACTGCTTTCTACTTGAAAAAAAATTTTTGATAGTTTAAAATTTAAAATAAAACTTGGAAGTATTGTAAAATATATGTGATGACGTTTACTTATGAAACTCATTCTTTTGTTTAGGAATATGCAAGTAATTCCTCAGTTTTCAGTTAATTTCTTCATTACTTCATAATGAGTTTTCATGGCTTTACTTTTCCAAACGGGATTCTATGTTTCGCTTCTTATAATTAATTTGTAAATGTTCTTATGCACTGTTTTACTCATAATATTGACACAGTAGAATTTTCGTTTGGGGGTCTCAATTACGCTGTTGTTTTTTCAAAGCCTAATTTCCATCTTTTGGTACATAACTATCAAGACCAAGGATTCGTTTTTCTGAAGTTTTATTCTATTCCTTTGTGATGTTTGTAAGTATAAAGTAATTTGGGAGACAGGGAAAGCATCACCGGTCCTGATTCTGCTGTCTTATGATGAGTAATCTGAAAAAAAGAGATGATAGAAGTTTATATTGTGCATCAATGGCTACTTTCTTGCGGTAAATGGCTACCTGATTCGCGGTAAATGGGTACTTTCTTGCGGTAAATGGCTACCTGATTCGCGGTAAATGGCTACTTTCTTGCGGTAAATGGCTACTGAGGTGCGGTAAACGGCTACAAGTAGCCTTGTTACCGCGTTCAAGTCGTCATTTTACCGCAAAATGTTACCATTTACGGCAAAAAATGTAGTCATATACCGCAAGATGTAGGCACTTACCGCATAAACAGTAGCCGTGTACCGCAAAAAAGTTGCCAATTATCGCAATGATGTAGCCTACTACCGCAGGTATGTAGCCTACTA